TATGCAATAATTAAATAATATTGTCTGAGGTCTAATGATGAACACTGAAATGTAACAACTTCTGGTCAGTGGCATATGATACTCAAGACAATGTTTATTAAAAAGGCTTCACCAAACAAGTAATTTTTATGTGATTGTAAGTAGCAATATCACAAGGTAAAACTAATTGAGTAAAATTAATAAATAATAAATATATGATGGACTTTAGTTAGAGACTGAGTGAAAAAGTAAAATCCTTTCCTGGACAAATTAAATTTTTTCTTTGAAGAATTTTGATCTTTGTAGTGGTTTTTCATTCTAACTTAATTTGACCTTTGGCCTGACAGTGATTGCAAACCTGTCATTTGTTTTGTTGTTCGCTGTCTCATTTCAGAAAAGGGGGTATATTATTTAAAAAAAAACATTTATAAAATGTAGATGTTTCTGTTTTAATCATTCAGAACTTGTCAGGACTTAGGAGATATAGAGCGTGGCATATGACATGTATGACAGAGATACTCATCCACCATTTACACTCCCCTTGAATTGTCATGTCTGTATTTAACAAAATAAAGTAAATTTCATAGTTGTCAAGAGAAAATAAAAACTTCCAACTCTTCTTATTAAACGAAACCGCCAGCCCTTCATTTGTTGAATGCTTAATAATACGATAAATACAATAAAGGAAAATATTAAAAAAAGCACTTTCGGGCTCCAACATAAATGTCAAGTTACTTTATAGAAAATGTTTACATATATGTGACCAGCCGTGAGATTTTCAGGCTTATTGAGCTACCTGGGCCAAATGAGTAGTTTTTTGGCATTTTAATAAGTATACATAGATCCAAAACACTCTGTCAAGTTATTTTGCTCGAATATTCTAAATAACAGAATTATGATCCTTTTGTTAGTTTCGATTTAATGGAACATTTTCATCTTTTTTTTATAATTTTTAGATGTATGTTCAACTATAGTTGCTATGTCATATTGTTATTTTTTTTTTTCGGGGGGAGGTCAAATATTTTTTGATTAATCAAAGAATTTCAATTCGGTTGTCATAGCAACAAGTATCTTTTATCTTATTGTGAATACATTTTGTACATGTAGCCTGGCAAAGGGATTCAATCAAAGATCTGTAAATGCAGAGTGAGATGGAAAAACATATAGCATGGTCAATAATATTAAGGAATGTAGGTAAAAGGGATGTAAGAAAACGTTCAACAACACGTCCATCTTGTCCATCTAGTTATAAGATAGTCAGATATAAAAAAAAAAAGAGGAATAAACATGGGTTCTAATGGGCAGGTATATCTTGCTTGATTTACACGTACCGGTACATGTCCATACATATGTTCATATTTCCCCTTACAATGTGAAAAACAATAAGATGCACTCCAAAAACTTGGGATTCATGCACCAATCTGATGCGGAAAAGTTAAACCTTTTCAGTACTCTATTTAACTGAATAATATCTCACAACGGTGATATAATTAAAACCATTTTGTATAAACGAAAACATATTTATGATTCAAGAGAAAATGATTTAAGCAATGAAATCTAAAAGATAATTCTATGAATTAAAAACGCGATCCTAAACGGGATGTTAAAGTAAGTTATTAATTTGACGAAACAATCTACTTGTTTTGTATATCTATTGAAAAAATCAAATTTCCTTAGGCCATGAAAACAGGAACTTTATTTGACCGCAGTATATAATTGGAAATTCAATTACAGGTGCCCCTATGACGTTACGTGACTTAACATCGACGTTTTCTCATTATGACATTAACCGCCATAAGCCTGGAATTGTCATGGCGGGTCACATATATGCAATAACAGTTATTGTCAATGCCTAGAGTATCAGGATGTAATCTGGGTGTGACAGCTACTAAGTATTTGTCAACTTAAAATCCAATCCCAAATCATGTATATCAAATAACTAAATACTGCAAAACATGCTTTAAACATGAAAAAAGTAAAATGCCAATATCACGAATATACTGTGAAAAAACTGAAAATATCAATTCACTAGTAATATGTAATTTTGAATTTTCTAGGGAATATTAATTTATGCAATCAAATTAAAAAAGATTACAACATAAAAGAGAGCAATGGGGTGTGAAAAAAATTATATAATGAGTATGAAAAGCTTTTTAAAGTCAAAATTGAGACATATATAACCATCTCTGATAACATATACTTAAATATGTGTAATAATGAAGAGTTGAAAAAAAATACCATGTTTACCTAATATATCTATCCTCATCAAATGCATGTACATGCAGCTAAACAAATGTAAAAATAAAATGAACTAAATCATCATAAATAGAAATTCATTTTGTAAACTGGATGCAGATTGAACAACAATCTACGGAACAACTAATGAAAGATTGCTTGAAGATGAACAGGGAATGAGCACAAACAATATTATATTATATGATATCAAATCATCTTCATTCTTTATCAATCACACCTGTAAGCTACATAATAAATATCTGACTCTGTTCAAACTGTTTTACAGAACTCGGGATTATTTAACGAAAAATATATCATCAAAATAACGGTAGTATTGTTGAATGTATCAACCAAATGTAACAATGACGTCTCTTTACTGAGTTCGGTCATACACTGAGATTCATAGCAATACAGGAATAGATAATTAAAGGGGCGCAATTAAAGTCCATAGGAATACCTACTGCCTGTAGATACACTTTATCGCCGGAACGTACATATATGTTGTCCAGGAGAAAATTTAAAGCTTCAATCATATCTTCACATTTCCAGTAAGTGTATCTAGCATACTTTCCTTTTTCATTACATAAAAAGCTTGAAACGAGTTACAGCAAATAAATTTGCAATATGATTTTTTTCAAAAGACCATTCAATTAAATATAAAAAAACATTTCTTGAAAAGATTGTGTGGAAGTGTAGTGTAGAGAATAGAAAAACTATCAACAGAATTAAAAGGACCATCAAAAGCACATACTTTATCTAATACCTCTAAAAAAATTAACACTCCAAAAATAATTAATACCATTATTTTCATAAGCTTTATTACAAAACTTATTAACAAGTTCTTTGATAGTAGTAAGAGAGGTAGTTGGAATCACTAACAGATAAGTAGTATAACATTTACTAGATGTGGTTGTTTGTGTAATTTATGTAACCAGTACATAGTCGGGACTTTCAAATGTGAGAAGAAGATTTTAAGCTGGATAGTGGCAGTGATGTGCTTGTTTACAATGTGATTCTTTGTGGAGCGTACGGGCCTAAATGTAGAAGAATTGATAATTTCGTTTTGGAGAACTTCTGTGTAATGTATGCGTCATACCACCACTACATTTTTGGCTGCTTTGTCTGCTTGTACGAACACAAACCGCTTTGAGAGTACTTGGAGTTTATTTTTTATTTCTAGAAATTGGTATATCATGGACCATATCATTAATTTCAGAATTGTTTTCAAAAGGAGATATACGAATATCAACAGTATTCATGATTTTATTCAAATAACTGTCTAAAAATTTTTCCTAGGTAAACCAAGCTTGTGTCAATTCGTCCCGAGTTGAAAATTTGTCAATGACAGTGGAAGTTGAAAAATGGCGGTTTCGAAGACTGAAAACTAATGACTTGAATTTCTTTTTCAACGATACATTAATTTGACATCTTATAACTTTTAAATAATTTTAAAACTTATGATATCATGAATACCGCTCATGATAGGTTTAATTTCTTTAAATATCACAAATTCACAATTTCCTACCGGGTCGTCTTCCGCGTGAAATTATTTTACTACGCAGCGACATTTGTTGACGGCTTTCTCAGGAATTATCTCTACTTGATTCTCGAATAATAAATCCGGGGTTATAATGGACAAATCAGGGATTTGCTGTCCGCCTGCATAGGTATTATTAGAACAAGGCCACACCAGTTTGATTCCTAGTTCTTCGGATTTTTGTTTTCCTGTTTTGGAGAACTTTCAATGAAAAAAATAATTACCGTTAATAATTCTTGCTTTGTACTAAAACAGCAACCTGAGTAAGATGGTTATATTGCTATACATTTAGATCTAATTAGAATATTCCATTAAAATACCTGTCACCCCATTCACAAGCATTATTCTGACTGAGCAAAATATCTTTCCTTTTGCTCTTAAAAGCTTCAATGCATTTAAAATCTTTAGCTTGACAAGAAGTAGTTGAACCAATTACACACCCCTAATTATTATGAGCATGCCCGTCACAATACAGTTGGAACTTTTTAAATTTCCACAAACAATAGAAGAATTCTGCTTGCATGCCAAAAGACTAGCAAGGGGTAATGGGATTTCATCAAAATCAAATACTTCTGTGATTTTTTAAAAGTTTCATTGGAATTTACAATTCATTTCATCCAAGATAGATAGGTCTATCACGTCAGAAATAACCATAAATTGGTGTATTATACAGGTGTAATACACCATTTGACATAAAATGAGACACACCAATTAAGTATAATACAGTTTCATTTTCACTGAACTAGCACACAATTTTTTTAGGGGCCAGCTGAGGACCACCTCCGGGTGCGTTATTTTCTTGCTGCATTGAAGACCCATTGGTGGCCTTCGGCTGTTGTCTACTCTTTGGTCGGGTTGTTGTCTCTTTGACATATTCCCCATTTCCTAGCTCTTAGTGATAACATGTAATTGATTCTGACACTTTGTGCAGGATATTCTTAGAGAAATCCTAAAACTGATGCAACAATCCTTTTCCAACCTACATGACTGATAAATTCTGAGTTTTCATCTATTTAATATTTGTTTTTGGTTCTGCAGTCTCGTGCATCTATTTCGACTAACTTTTTTTTATTGAAAAGTCAATTCCTTTAAAACAGGAGCAGGAAAATCGAAAGAACTAGGAATCAAACTGTTGTGGCCTTAAGTCCTAATTTTTTTTTGCAGACTGGTATTTGATTTCTTTATCTTTAAATCATATTTTTTCTTCGCTTTGATAATTCGCAATATAGTAAACATTAGAATACATTACCTTTCTTCAAGATTTTTAATTTGTTTCTTCAAATTAGATATGTTCTTTGTAGAGTCGTTAAACTGTTCCAGTTTTGAATTTAGGCTCCTACAAACAGAAAACTAAATTTCAAATCTGCCATTTAACTGTTCATTATAATTTGATGCTGCTAACATGAACTACATGAGCATTTCATTTTTTAATTTTGTGCTTTGTCCGTGTGACTTTTTATTTTTCTTTGATACATATGACGTGTCTCTGTACTATAAACAATCCGCCATTGTGTTATTGTTCTATTATAATTTTTTTTTGCATACTTTGAACGACAAAATTATTTTATATATCTACCTGTGTGACGTTTACATTCTGACGTCAAACACGCGATTCTACGCCAGAGTTAATGTTAAAATTACGATTCGGTTCCAGTGCTTAAAATCCCTCGATCATTTATGGTTTGATTTGGCATACATAAATAAAATACAAAAATAAGTAAGCAATGAACGAGGTGGTTAAATGTGACATATGCTTTTTTGTGCTTCTTTGTTAAATATTTGTTTGTTTTTTGTTGTGATTAAGATTATGACACCGTGTTGACTGCTGTACCCCTATTTTGACATTTTTACCTATTATGTCTGTTTGTTTTATTCACGCATCGTCGTCAATATAATTGAATTTGATGCAACTGTCATACAAGTGAGAGGTTTGGCGCTATAACACCAGTTTCAATCTACCATTTCCTACAAAAGAAAATACCTGTACCAAGTCAGGAATAAGACAGTTGTTGTCCATTCGTTTGATGTGTTTGTGCTTTTGATTTTGCCATTTGATTAGGGACTTTTCGTTTTAAATTTTCCTTGGAGTTCAGTATTTTTGTGATTTAACTTTTTGAATAGTCTTACATTTGTCAATTCGGGGCCTTTTATTGCTGACTATGCGTTATAGGCTTTGCTTACTGTTTAAGGCCGTACAGTGACCTATAGTTGTTAATTTCTGTGTAATTTTGTCACTTTTGGAGAGTTATCTCATTTGCAATCATACAACATCTTCTTTGTTTTATATAAAATGTATGCAATTTTACTATTTTATTATTTTTTTGACATCTACTGTTCAGACATTTTTAATCGCATTGTTATTGCAATTATTTGATAATGGACATGATGGACACACATGTGAGATTATATATTGCTATTATTAATAAGAAATTCTGCTTACAAATAATGCTATCAAAGTTTAAAAAAAGTTTTTTATGTTTGCGATTCTACAAATGTATCATGTTGCAATGTTTGCAACAATAAAACATCTCAACGGTAGCTTAATTTATTGATACTTACTTCAACTCATTTCCCAGTTCAATATTTTCATTCTGAAGTTCCTTTCGCTCATCTTCCAGTGCCTTCTTTTGATGTTTGCACGTTTCCAGATCATTCTTATTTTGCAGCACTTCATAAGCACTAAACTGATTTGCTTTTTCTACTGTTAACCTATCAGATAATTAAATAATTAAAATACACATGTATAATAAAACGAGATTCCATTCAACACTTTCAACTCAAAGTTTATTTGAACATTTAAACCAAAAATCCATTTTTTCTGACTTTAAGTCAAGTTTGACCACTGTTTTAAGCAACAATGCATTCTCTTAGTACTGTTAAATTGTTGACCAGACAAGTAAATATGTGTTTGTGATAAATTTGCAGTTTATTTACAGATACCTCTTGGAGACACAATTTTCTTCCAAGTTCTTAACTTTGCTATTTAATTATCTGACTGAGAATAAAAGTTGAAAAATTATATTCAAATCAAAATCACTTCATTTTTCATTTTAGGGGTTAATGAAAAATAAAATATCAATGATCTGTCACAATTAGTTCCTATCAAACTAACTTAAGCAGACAACTTAACAATTATTGACACTGGAGCCGGAGCTGGTTCTGTCATTGTTGTCGTTGGAAAAGCAATCTCTATGTCTCGCTTTCCGCGCCTTTCGTCGCAGTCGAGACAATAAGGAGATGATGTATGATTGCAAAAAAGACAACTATCCTCAAAAGTTCAAATAAAGTGTATGTTAACAAATATATGCAACCATACGGCCTTCTACAATGAAAAACCCATACCGTATAGTCGGCTATACAAAGCCCCGACATGAAAAATATGAAACAATTCAAATGAGAAAACTAAAGGTCTAACTTATACCAAAACAATAAACGAACAACAAATATGACAGACATAAAGTTACGACAACCACTGAACTACAGGCTCTTGACGTGGGACAGGCACATAAAGAATGTAGCGTGGTTAAACATGTTTATGAAACCCTATTTTGAAAGTGCCTTTCCTGCTTACCAAATATGTCGAAATAGAGCAGCTCTAACTAAAAAATTGTATTCTGCCAAGTAGACTAGAGACAGCATCCCTGAAAATAATGATGAATCCACAGTATCTATAAGACATATTTTGCTTAATACTTTCAAGGGTCAATCACAATTAGTTTCAATAGACTCTATTTTTAGTTTTTTTAACTGGATATTGAGAAGATTGAAATGTTTGCTTACTTGCATAAAACATGCTTCTGGGAAAAGTGATCAATTAAAAGTACCTTGATATTAAAATTTCAATCTCACGTTCCATTTGCCTCATTTTGTCATTGTCATCTCTATTCCTTGATTTCAAAGTATCAATCTCATGTTCAAAACGCTGTAATTTGTCATTGTCATCCTCCCGCCTTGATTTTAAAGTTTCAATTTCATACTCTGATTGCCTCATTTTGTCATTGTCATCCCTACACCTTGATTTTAAAGTATCAATCTCCTTTTCATATAGTTTAATTTTTTGTAAACCTTTGTCCTCCTTATCCTTGAACAAAGCAACTAACTCAGACTTTTCCCTCTCTTTATTCTGAAGTTCTTCTCTGGCAAGAACTTGTTCTGTATTAAGGTTTTGATAATATTCTTCCTTCTCCCTCAGAACCCTTTGCAGTTCTATTCTTGCTGAATTTCTATCTTTCCTCAGTCTATCATTTTCATCCTTTAATTTAGTGGAAGTATTATCAGAACTCATACGAGCTGATGTTTCTTTTTTGTACCTATCAAATATGATATAATGACTATCAGTTCAGGTTTTAAAGACTTACAAATGAATAAACGAGAATGTGGGGATAATATCATAGCCAGAATAACACAACATAGGTTAACCACACTAGACATCTAGAGGTCTTGGATGGAGAGTTGTCTCATTTGCACTCATACCACATCTTCATATATCTAGTCATTATAAAATACTTAACAATGGAGCAACAACCACCCAACTGTTAATTACCCCATTTAGTAGACATTTTGGGTTATGAGTCATTAAAGATAACAAAGTATCTGACAGACCCCATTTATTTTTTTTTAATTTAAAACATACATAGACATCCATATCAGTTCTGAAAAGAAAACAGAACAGTAAATTTTTTTTTATTAATATTTACTAACTTCCCTGCAAACGTTTTGTTTCAATAAAGGCAAAGACAAATACTTACCTTTTTTCTAGGTTATCGTGCTCCCTTTTTATTCTTTCTAATTCATGTAATGATTCTTTGAATTGCTCATTTTCAGTTTTTGTGTGTTGAAAAAATAAGATATCAGTTTCAAGTTTTCTCAATCTGTAAAACAAAACCAGTCAATTAATTTTTCATTCATCAACCTGCATGGAACTATCTTAAACAAAAACATCAGCTCATTTGGATGGCTCTTTTCCTTTTTCACAGTGAATTACAAAATTAAATGCCAATTTCATATATCAGAACACCATCTGAAAAGATAATTGAACATGGAAAGAAATATATCACTTTACTGGCAAATAAATCCAACAATTTTTAATGATTGTGCAAGAACCTCTTAGTTTTTGTAAATTTCTAAACCCAAGGGCAATTACTAGATCAAAAATAGATCAACTACAAACGAATTCATATGTAGCATATACACTTAACACATGTTATAACACGAAACTATATGCTTAAACTCTTATTAATTATTTACAGGTTTGCTATAAGAGATCATCGTTCGACTTGTTTGTGTTTGTTTGATAATTTGCTAGAAACAATGACAGCCATGTTTAAATTAACACTATCAAAGAGAATCATAAACTCAAAATCAAAGTTCAAATCAGGGTAAACAGACAAGTGATAAATAGGAATATCTCAAATTAGGTTATAAAAACAGTGAACAAAATCTAAAATCAAAACATTAATTGCAGAAGTAAAGGTCTTGGTGTATTTCTAATAAATATGCAATATGTTCTTTCTCTATACTACGGTAAAAAATAGATTATTCTAATCAGTAAAACAACTAGAAAAAGAGTTTTAAGTTTAAGTTTAATTACCCTAATATAAAATCCACTTGTGTTAGTTCTGTTAAATGCATACATACCTAACTTCTGAATCTTTAAGCTCATTTGATTTTTCAAGTATACTGTCTTGCAATTTATCTTGATCGCTTTGCAATTTCTTATTATCTTCCTTACTTTTATTCAATCTGAAATTTTATACTATATATTCAATTACTTTAAAAAAAGTACATGCAATTTAGATATTGCTATCTTATACAAAATGTTTGTCTATTGTTTTTTTTTTAAATTGTGAAATTGCATTGTATTATAACAACAACAAAAATAAACACGGATTTTTTAAAACAAATGTATGCACTGTTGTTATGCCAAAAAATTAGAAGAACAAATCAATGTTTAATTGCATTTTTAAGATGAATATAATGACTGAAAATTCAAGTTAGCTTTATTGTACCAGCTACTGTGTACAGCTCTTATTGTATTGTGATTTTTTTTAAAAGGCTTAATTATTTAGGACCTTGTTGTACCTGAAAGGTATTTCAAGTCAACTGCTTTATCACGATGCAAAATTGTACCCTTCAGGTTGGGCTTTCTTATTATTAACACTATTTACCACACTGGTGATCAAATGTTTCTTACCAAAACGTTATATTGTTACTGGGGCAAAAAAAAATGATTCTTACATTACTGATATCAGTCATTCAACAAAATATCATTGTTACCAATAGTAGGTCCCTATATTATTCAAAAACATATTCTAAAAAATGTCAAACTTACATATCCTCAAGTTTAATCTTATCATTTTCCAGTGAAGATATTTTTCCTCTGAACAGTTCTCTGTCATTATCTAATTTTCTGTTTTGCTGAAGAAGATTTTCTAATGTTCCATGTGAGGAATCCTGTTGATGAAATTGCTCACTTTTGAAAAGATTCAAATCACTCTGGATCTGGTAAAATTTAGCTCTCAACTTGACCTTTACTTGTTCTAAGCATATCTTTTCCTGTTGTAGACTTTCAATTGTCCTTTTACTAGCAATCTTTCCTGTTTCATATCTGATGATGAAAATGTTAAGTTTCTTACATCTGCAGAATATTTGTGTTGTGTGAAGATATTTGCATTTGGAGGATGTTTCTAAATGAATATTTTTTGTCAGGTTATAGTATGTTGCATCAATATCATAGTACAGATGAAATGGAAAAGAATGACTGACTTACTCTTGATTACTTTAAGTCCAGTGGCAAATACTAATGCATGTTCTGGACAAGAACATATTAACAATTTATACAATTTAAGATAGGTCTTCTAATAGAGCAAGTCCGGGATGAAAGTCGGGGAAATTTGGACGGCAAATAAAAATATGTGGATGCATTTAATTTGATAGTGACATAAATTGTGCATTGCAACAGGCCACCTATGGACCCCTTAAAGAGTTGTTGCATGGGTTCTTAAGGTACGCGTACTTGTACATCCATCACATCAAAACAGATGCCTTACTTTGGCAAGATTTTACTGCAGGTTGTACTGTAAGAACACTTAGTGACCATATTTCTATTCCCCAGTCACGTTTAGGGATTGGAAAAGAATGAATGTTGTATATTATTGTATTTGTAACAATAAGCTGCTGTGATTTTAAAGTTAAATTTAAACCAATAGTTTTGACATAAGATTAACCTCCTGTAATCTGACTCCTCTGAAGTCAAATAAAACATTTAGATGGTGTCAAGCCGTTGATTAGATCTTTTGAATTTAGAACAAAATATGAGAATGCACAGAATATGATATAGTTTCTTGCATTTTCTTCTGTATTTACATCCAAAGTCAATGTAATATAAAGAATAACTACTCCATGATTCCAATATAAATAAAACTTTCACCTTCAGGAATAATTGCTTCATTATAAAACGGTATTTTGATTGGCTAACAACTATCTCCGGTCATTCTGAAATTAACCTTCATGATGTCACGAGCTCCTCAATAAAGTGCACGGGTAAATAAAAGAAAAAATTGCTAAATATCGTGTTTTCATGATCCTAGCAATAAAATGCAATTTTAAGTATTGAAAGCTTCTTTTAGTAATTTTATAGGGTTTAAAAAACGTTGACCGTGCGCACATTTTTAGAATGAAGCGCATCGGCGCTTCATTCAAAATGTACATTGGTCAACACTTTTACACCCTAATAAATTTACAAAAAAGGCATTCAATTCTTAAATTGTTTCGTCAATCATTGAATATTTTGTCAAGACTTGAATTCTTGGCTGAGTTATTCTGTAACTAATCATTGGACAAATACCTACATTTGGACTTCGTAAAAACCCAATCAATAGACATTGAGTTTTTATTGCAATGCACATCAAGGTCACAATGACGTTCACCAGTCTTGTCAAAATTAATCAATGTATACTAAAAATTCAGCAAATCTATCAAGAAATATATCAACCTTGACATAATCTCTTCCAATCTTCCAAGTTATATACTACATGTTGTATTTTTAAAATTAAAAAAAAAAAAACAATTGTCCAGATAAAATTGCATGACTCAATTATCATGATTATGTCGTAATTTTTTCTTGTACTTTTTCTTTTAAATTTTATTATATTTCAAACTTTACAGTTCTAAAAACATGACCCAAAAACAAATTACTGTTCAAACTTCCTCACTAACACAAATTTAAAAAAAATTGCAAGAAATCTGAATTAATTTCGTTTATAAAATAGACAGCCACCTCTTATTGCTTCACCTTTTAAAAACATAAAAAAACACTGTCAAAAGAATCCCAATATGTACATGTTGTACAGGAGTTGATTTAGAAACTCATAATTTTGGCCCTCAAAATCTGAAATTTTTTAACTGCGACACTGCCCGTAGAAATCGATGAAAACATATGGAAAAATTCGTATTGTTTCACCTTAGAAATATTTCTACCAAATGCGTCGTTAGTGACGTATTTGTAACATTATAAATGTAGGTGAATTTCGCTAAAACCTTACGTTTTGTATTTTTTTTAAAGTGATGACCGTTTGTTTTAATATCATATTTTTTTAACTTTTCAAACAAAAGTTCAGTGGGCGAGGGGTGCCACATATAAAACCAAGAAAAAGGTCGAATAGGTGATTGAAATGGACGAAAATGAAATTTATTGCTATTCTCGTCTAATGTATTTATAAATATGAGGTAAATATTCCAGTTCTAAAGTCTTGACTCTCCAGTCTTTGTGAGTCCTGTGTGGGTTTTTTTTTGGTTCATTTATATAATTCAAAGTTTGATGTGGCGTCCATTTTGCTGAACTAGTATTATACATTTTTGTTTAGGGGCAAGATGAAGCCTGTCTCCAAGTGCGGGATTTTCATGTTGCTTTTAAGATCCATTGTTGGCTTTGGACAGTTTTCTGCTCTTTGGTCGGGTTGTTGTCTCTTTGACAGATTCCCCGTTTCTATTGTCAATTCTGCATGTTCGATGCACAGTAGATCTAATCAAACAATTTAAGTTAAAAAGAATACACCTTTACTGGGTAGTTTGTTTGGGTTACTGGCTTTACTCCTTTAATGGTTAAGTATATTTACTTTCATAAAAGAAAGGTGTTTTGTTAAACATATTTTTATTTCATTTTCAAAGATTATACAACCATGAAATAACAGACAATGCAGCAAATGGATAAATATTGACTGTGTATTCTTTGTGATTGATAATCCTTACCTTTCGGAAAGATCAGTATATTCTTGTCTCATTTTTTCTATGTTTTTCAATGCTTCAGTGAGTTCAGATCTCAAGCTAATATTTTCTTTCTCAGTATCTGATCTACTTCCAACTGAAGAATAGCTGAAAAAGATTAAATAAATGTAAGAACAGTTGATTCTCATTTGGTAAATGAAAGTCATTTTATAAAATAAGATTTAAACTACAATAAACAAAAGGAGCCTGGTTTGCCATGCAGGCATGTCTAAAAAATCTATGAAAAGATTAACTGTATTGTCATTTGACAAAAAAGTAATTTGCTTGAAGAGTTTGTAACTATTTTTAATTGTAAAACATTTATAAGATGGGTGGAAATTCATATTAAAGGAAGATAACCTTATACATGTTTAATATTGTCACTGTTTTGTCTGTACCATTAATTGATCTCCCTTTTGATAAGTGGTTTTCTTACTTTTTATGAAACAGAGAAAAAATACAATGGAATATTTTTAATACACGTTATTTGCTTTCTACTAACAGAAACGTTCTCTGGCAATTGGCTGAAGTTTACACCATTTGATGAGTTTAAAATGGCTTACGTGAATACAAGTTGATATTTAAATATTTTTACCCATGAATAGTAGCAAGCATACTTCAACTCTTTTTTTTATATTGACATGCATTTATTAAATATTAAAAAAGTGCGAGAGTTTAACTCAAAATCTGTTCAAGGTTTTAAAAAGTTTCTCAATCATTGTTATCACCCATACTAAAGGCACTTATTCTTTAAAGTCGTAATAAGACCTACTTAACTGGTGATGTAAAAGTTGACACTTCAAAACATTAACATTTATTTCATTGATTGATTGTTTGTTGCTTAATGTACAGTGGGGAATATGTAATGAATGTTCAGGGCGTGATCAAATTAATATACATTCAATAAGTAGGTCATATAATAGTGGCCGTCTTGAATGAAAATCGGGGATACCTGAACTGGCACTGGAAAACGATGATGTATTGGATAGGGACAGTAATTTTGTCTTGCAACAGCCAAGTGCCAAATTCAAATCATGACCAGCTCTGTTAAAATACTTTGCAAAGCTGCTTGCTTCTCATACAAAGCAAGATATGTTTATCACTTCTGACCACCACAACCCGTTTTGGTTTTAATGGGAAGAAGATTTGCATTCTTGTTTTAAATCTATCTCCTTTATTTATTGTATTCCGGATGTCGTCAGATGTTATGACCAAACATTTGGTCTGGTGAATCTAAAAGGGTATCATATGTTATAGACTGTAAGGCATGATAAGTTGAGATCCTCACTTCATTAAAGCATCATAAATGTTATTCTCCCTCTGACCAGATATAAATCATCGAATAAATGGTTTTGAACTTCAATAATAAAAATCTCACTTTTCTTGCAAAAACAATGTGCCTCTTTTCCACATATTCAAATCCGTGATCCCTTCATTCTCCTGTTCATAGACATGTATATTAGCTGACCTCAAATTATGTGGAAGGAACAATATATGTAACTTGTTGAATGACACTTAATTGAATACTTATATAAAAAACATATTTCAATAGCTGACTTAATCATGATACAGTCATAAAGAAAAACATTAGAACAAGTATACTGAATCAAAGTTAGTTTTTAACTTAAAAATACTGTGCCACCCTGACTTTCATTTCTGTAATAAAAAAAAACAAAAACAAATATATTAAATGTATCTTAAACTGTCAGTATATGTAAAATATGCTAAATATTCAAAGTCAATAGATAATGACTGAGGGGTTGGGGTCAAATTATCTCCATGGACATGAGATGAGTTATTGTTAATTCATCTGCACACCAGCTATCATTGACCTACCACTATATTTTCCTCTTAAACTGACCTTATTACAAACTAATACATTTTTGAAGCTGCTTACACTGTTGGTAGAAACAGAACACCTAAGTCTCGCTTTTTAGATTTTTTCGAGACGAAACAAAAACGGTCATTTAGCGCATATAACTCTTATAAAGAGTGAACCCACTATTTTACAAGAAACAATATGTTATTGTCTGTGTTTCTGTTTTTTTTTTCTATAAATTTTAGAAGTGAATCAATTGAAAAAAATTGACGATTTTTCCCAAAACAGCCTATAGCTGCAATGTGAATTGTCCATCATTTGTTTGCCATGATTGAAATCTCAGTTTTGGGGTATTTCCTACCTGTTATCAAATGTATATTTAATCTCTTAAGGATTTTAACTTCATTTAACTTATAATGAGTTAGATAACTTGTAATGTTAGTCAATATAAAAAATAATAGGACGTTCATCAGTAAAGAGGTTACCATTATCATAACAGTCATAATTACCATCGGTATAATAATCTGTAATAATTTCTTTGCAGACACTCAATAGACTTTTTTTTAAATATTGGTCAGCTTGCCTTTGTTGACGTTTTGATTTGATATTAAACTTTGTAATTGACTGGCTTTCCAACTGATTTGATCGAACCCCACTGATGAGTATTGTGAAGACAAAAGGTCTGTCTGGAATACTTAATTATCAATCTGGTATCTTGAATGAGTTTTTTTTCACTCTGTATGCGTTACTGCCACTGAATTTTTTAACAATCATAATTAAAATAAAATTTAATGTATCCCTGCCAGTTCCTGCAGCCTTATCATGAATAGTCTGAGCTAACATTCTATCAAATGATATGAACCAGAACAAAACACACAGTAGTTTTGCCAAAAATTGATCAAGCTGAACAAAACAATAACTTTATCTGTATTTCATCATGCTTATCTGATAAAAACCAGATTCATATCTAAAGCCATTTTTAAAAATGTTAGGACAAATACAATTTCGTAAATTGGTTAACTGGAATGACATAAAAATTCTCTATAAATAATACAGAATTTTCAAATTTCACAAGAGACATTTACCAGCCACAATTTACTGTTCTAGGATTTCAATGTTCTTAGTTTTTTCATTTGTTACTAAAAAGTATGACCATACCAAAGTGTTTCTCAAATTTTATCATAGACATGCATAATATAATGGTGAAAGAATTTTTCCACATGCAGAAATTTACTAAAAAGTGTTAGTTCATTTGCAGCTTTTTAGGGAGGTTTTATCAAGTTCAGGATTGTCCTAAAAATCTTCCTTTTTGGCAAAATAAGTTTATGAATAAAACCTTTTCACTAATTATTTGTCAATTTAATAATTTCTGAACCAATTGTTTAAAAATAATATTCAAAATGTGGTTGCCGATGATCTCAGTAAATGATTGATTAAGTTAAAATGTCATTATCAATATAGGGTCTCAGGATGAATGAACAGGACCTTTTTTATAAAAACTTTTACTACATGCATATTTTTCCACCTTTAGAAATGCTTGTTTAAGTTGTTTACAATGTTCTTGATTAAAAGTTTTTTTTTATTAATGTTTGCTTCCAATTGATTCAGAAATGGATAAATCCATTATTTGAGCATTAATTTGGTAATTATATGATGTAATCATGAATGTGGAGGCACTAGATGAAAATTTGGTTTATCGAATATTAGAGTTTCAAAAGGCATGACTTTTCTATCAACTGATTATGCAATTAGAGTAAGCTTTCCACAATTATTGGTAATTAGTATTGTAATACTGTTCAAAATTGTTATACAGCAGTGGTGATAATGTCACATGGACAATGTTTATACATTAGAAGTCCACAATCATTTTAGAATTTTGCAAATTGCTGAATCTAGAAACTTAATTAACAGGGTTGTCTATGTGGAAGGTTTATGACTTTTGATGCTTTAACTAAGACCTTAATTAACTAGTACATGTCTTCAGTACTTCTTAATCACGAATGAAAACCTGACCAAAAATGTCAAACTTTCATGGCCCCATTCAAATACCATCATGGTTTGGTTAACCAGAACATCCATCTCCCCGATGATCATGGAATATCTTTCACTTTTTGGGCCACATTACATTATTCTTGTCCTTGTTTATGACTATCAGATAATGTAACTTTAAATAAAAGTTTTCCCTTACATAAGCAACAGAGCAGGTCCCACCATTGGAATAGGAACAGATCATCTTTCAGGCCAAGCACTTGAATTTGCACCAAGTGTTTGGCTGAGTTAATGTGGATGAAAATTTGGTTTTTTATGTTGCATATTGTGATTAGACGATTGTCATTTTTTTTTATCATTGTATTGGCTGTCTTTCTTCTACTCTTTTTATTGCAACTTCGGTATCTTTTTACCTGTTATTTCTTAAACCATATTCATAAATCATATTACATATGCTTACTTTTTTTCCATTTCATATATTGCTTCTTTCAAAGATTCGTTGTGTTCTTTCAATTTTCTGTTGTTTTTCTGTTCTTGAAGTAATTCATTTCTATCCCTAAAAAATAGCATTGCATATCTATAGACTCATTTTTGATAACACTATTGTCTGTCTACCTTCGAGCACAACAAAATATAAGTAATTATAAAATTAATGTAATAATATTAATGTTAAACAAATCATGTTAAATGTTAGAATTGTGTAAATAGAGTAATTATGTTAAAAACATGCTTGTGCACATGCAACAGTTAATTGTTGCACTTATTTTAATTATTTCATTAAAAAAAATTGATGAACTATATGCTGTCTTTTAAATACAACTTGTCAAAGACAAAGCATCGAAACTAACAAAAAACTTAACAAAATCGAAATCATGCTCTTTTTAAAATAATTTCATAAAATTAATAATGAAAACAAAATTATTTGCCCATATAGGACACAATCCCTCAACTACACTTTTATATTTTTCATGTTTAGTGAGCAAGGTAATAGTAGACAAAACCCTTTTTTGGCATATTATAAAGCTCACACCATAATGTATATGTTTACTAATTTTCAGGTTAATATGACCACAACTTTCTAGTAAACTACCGTAAACCAATACTTTGGATTGTGAAATCAGGGTCCAAACCAAATTTGGTATATAATTTTAAAAAATCACATGATAATAAACAGGTGTTCTTAGTTTCAAGTTAAGTTATCACAACTTCATGGCTACATGTAAATATCATAAACCAAACTTTAAACTATACAGGAGGGACAGACAATGGAATAAAGGAACAGACATTATATAAAATAGTTTTACTAAATCTTGCATGTTAATCTTTCTTATTTCACAAATGAAGTCAAACATCATATTTTCAACATTTCGTTCTTTATACCTATTCTTTAAAAACATATTGTGGATGTTCTTTGTTTCATTCGACAGTAAACAAAATGATTTAATTTGGAAGTGAATAAGAAAATATCCATATGTGTACTGCAGTTCACAAGAAAAATCCATACTATACTCAAATCCTTACTAAAGTGGCCATTCTATTTCTAATTTATGTATTAGATATAGCCCGAATGGATGTATCTAATTAACACCAAGATATTATTATCAATGCCTAAGGATAATTTTCAATAATTAAGGAGGGTTTTTTTCACGGATATGACAGTATGTTATCAAAAAGCATGATAAATGCAGAGTATCCAATTTCATTTCACGACATTTTGGTGTAAGTAAATATACATTTATTTATTTTCTTTTTGTTAAATTATCTACCTGGAAGAAATATCTGTTCTTTGTTGTTCCATCTCTTTCAATTTTTCATTAATTTCATTGAAACGCTTGGTACCCTGCTGGTGGTCATTTTCTCTTTCCTTTAAACGCTTTTTTAAATTATGTATTTTCTCATCAGCTTTCTGCTTTTGTTTTTTCAAACACTTCTGTAACTGAGCTATCTCAAATTGATGTTTCTCACTATCATTCTTAATACCTAATACAATGGATTCTGCATCATTTTTTTCTTTCCTACATCTGTCTAACATACGTATGTGATACTCTAAAGCATCATTAGCATCTTTGAGTGCAATCTTCTGCTCTTCATCTCTGTAGAATGACATTCAATATAAGATTGTTAAGCAGCTAAGCATATATATTAATCAAAACTGAAGGTGTATTATGAGAAAACTGACTTAAGCCATATATTATTAACATGCAAAGAGAAAGTTGAACACTCAAACAAGTTTTAAGGAAAAGCTAAAAGTTTTATCTTTGGTGCATTTGAAAGTTTGGTATAAATAACTTATATTAATAAAAAAATCACATAAAATAAATGTTCTCAGACTATGTATTAAACAGCTAGGTGAGGGTCGTTAAGAAAGGGCGTCATCCAGAATTCTAACAAAAAAAAAAAACATTCTATCCCAGATCCCGAAAAAATAATCATTAATTCCAGAGTTCCAATAAGGAAAAGCCCAAATTCCCACGAAAATAAAGGCCCAATCTCGAATTCCCCAAAAAATAAAGGCCCAATCTCGAATTCCAACAAAAAAAGGCCCAATCTCGATTTCCCACAAAAATGAAGGCCCAATCTCTAATTCCCACAAAATTAAAGGCCCAATCTCGAATTCCCACGCAAAAAAAGGACCAATCTCGAATTCCCACAAAAATAAAGGCCTAATCTAGAAGTCCCACAAATACAAAGGCCCAATCTCGAATTTCCACAAAACTAAAGGCCTAATCCCGATGTCCAACAAAAGGTCCTTCCACCCCTCCAAGGTGCTACAAAATATAATTTCAGATATTCTAAGAAGTGAAGGAGACAATGATTTTTCATCAAAATGCGGCATATAGAAAATTTTTTTTTTACCAAAAGCAAGTCAAGCTATAAATATTTGGCCTTCTGATATTGATATGATATGTCATAGTAATATTTATAACTGGTAAACAAGTTCTTGATCCAGGAAAAAAAAAATCAAAGCATTGTCAGTGCTGTGATCCAGCCATTTTCGTAGCTAGGGGCAGGCTTACATGTTTTTTGATCTTATTTTAAATCAAATCTGTTCACTGATGAAAAGACTGGAAAAGTTATGTGCATACTTTAAGATTATATTCTCAGGTATCGCGATGAACAAAAAAAAAACAACTTTATATACCAGTCTTGCATTAAATTCAAAAATATATTTAGATTTTTTATCAGTTGATAAAACTAGCTTGTATTTCTTACTTTACTTTTAAATGATTGCTTTGGGGAGTATTTCTTTTCTAAATCATAGGTTACACATGTTACAGCATACATTTTTTCTAACTCATCTCAAGATCATTTATTGATTTTTGATAAAAAAAATTTATTACACTGAAAAAATAATGGTTTGATTTCATTTCCATAATCTTACTAAAATAATCTTATTCAATTGCCAAACGATGGAACATTTCTCAATCATGATACAAATTCTTTTGATATTGCAAATTTTAGTAGGGGGCTTATTTTTAATATGATCTATTTTTTTCAAATTAACAATTAAATAATTTTGGCATGATTGGAATAAGATATCTTCAAAGGAAGGTGTTGTCTATTTTTTTTTATTGAAGTTTGACTTAGTAACTTCCTGCCAGAAAGCATAGGACCAGGGACAAAATGATTGTTGGTTTCCCCTAACCAGGGCAGATCTATTTTAAACCGTCGGTTCGTTTATTTCTTTCGACTTAATGAAAAAAAAATAGATGGCCGTGTCTTGTTCTGATCCAGCAATGTTAACAAACATTTGTTCATATTTAATGTTGCTTTGGATGATTGAGGCATGTAGGTTCAGGTTATAAGCCTACTTTTGACCTCTTCTTTTCGAATGTCAGTCTAATTGTTTCCGGTAGATTTTCAGATATTGATTGGGTTTTCAGTAGGGTTTTCTTAGATTGACAAGTATTTAATTGTTGCTTTTGTCAAGCATTCTCCTTTCAAAATATTTCACTAGTATCTATTTATGGTTCTTTTCAGCATATTTTTCCATTTGTATTTTGAAGGCGGATTTTCTAGTATATCTTTTGGATTTGGCAAACTATATTTATTTAAGATTTTTCCTATTCTGTAACAAATAGTCTAAACCCTTTATTCCGTAATGAACAAATTCTGTAATATTTATTCCAGTGGAAATAATATCAGAGGATATTCTTCTGTTTGGAACTTATATCATGAACATGACGAAGGAAGTTTTATTTCATGACAATGTACACAATGCTTGAATTGCATTCACCGACCTATAAAATTAAACTAATCTTATTGTTAAAAGGAGTATGAAAATCCTAACGTGGCACTTGTAATGTAATTCCATATAATACATTAGGTAATGAACAATAAAGTTGGACAACTAATAAAGGCAAAGGCAAAATAATTTGAACATTTTCACGGATACCATGATAATGGTTTTATCTGGATGAAAAAAAGATGTGCCTCATATAGCAACCTTACAACACATAAAAAGCAAATATATCCAGAGTTCAACATACAGTCCTGAACAATAGACGGTGATGTTTTACACACAATATTTGAAGCTCTAAATCATTAAATGTCTAGAAATGCCATGGAACAGGCACATTAAAATGTGACATGGTTAAATTTGTTTTGACAAGTATACAGTTTTTTAAAATATAAAAATAAGATGCGGTATGATTGATAATGAGACAAATCTCCACAAGAGACCAAATGAAACAGAAATTAAGAAATTTAGGTCATCTGTGAAAGGGTAAGCACTATACTAACCTTTTCTGGATTTCTAAGATGAGTTTTTTCTGATTCTGAATTATGTTCTCGTAATTTCTGGTTTCATCTTGATCTGGTGTTTTTCTGTAATTAAGCCATTTTTTAAAATATAATTATAACTTGGTTCAAGATATTAATCAAAGATCAACAAGCTGTAAATGTTAGAGTCAGAAACCTCATCAGATGTTACACTTGTTTTTGTTTCAAGTGTTTCTGTACATTAAATACATGTAGCATGGTCACCGTGTTCATGGTATATCTTTGGAAATCTCCGACAGCATTGGAAATTTTCCAAATCCTAATATTTGGTTTTGAGCACCATTGATAAGAAATTCATTTGTTGTCATCTCCAACCAAATGATTCAAATCTTGTTGTTTTGACTAAAAACAATTAAGGTTGGCGTATGATATGGACACTTTTCTATTGTTGAAGATCTTATATTGACCTCAAGATGACTTTTTATTTTTCTTGTTTATTTCTATGGCTGCTGTCTCATTGATGACATGTGTACTCCATCTGGATGTGTAGTCCCTAATATCTGTATCCTTTACTTTAAGGGCTTTCTTTATCTTAAAAATAACACTTTTTCTGCAAAAGTCTCATTAAAATGATTGTACTATTAAATTTTCATGTAATTTGGTGATTTCTTTAGTATGTACATCGTTTATATTTGTAATCAGTATTGTATTGCCGAATTCTTTCATTTTCCACTGTTATTCTTTAAATTTTTGTACCCCGTTATTATCTATTCTTTATATTTTTTGCTCATTTTTCTCTATTCATTATTTTTTTTGCCTTTATTCTCT